AATGCACTTTCTTTGAACACCACTATTTACAGGAAATGGTTAGAACATTTTGTTAAGCACCATTCATTATGTAATCCATTTGTAGCTGATGTAACTGCTAACATCTCTAGTGTGGTTCCTTTTCAACCTATCCCAGCTGTTTCATCACAAAAAAATACCCTTCAAGTCACCTATTCTTGTTTGTATTGAATTTTGCTAAATTCCTTTTGGAAATGGCAAAAAGACTGAAATATATTCCCAAACTGATTTCCTGAAGACACAATAAAAAATCTGACTTTTTATGTGTCGTGTTTCATGTTTGGTAAACCTCAAATTTAACTGACAATGAGTTTGTTCTTTACTTCTTTAAAAAGCTTTTTCAGGTGTGTGGTCTCACATGATGCATGCAGCAACAAGAGACTGGCCCGGACACCAGGTAAGTTCAGATACAAAGGGACCCATAAAAGAAATACAGAATTTTGATTTGTTTGATAAATTGTACAAAATTTTTACAAAAAATTCTAATTATTTAATGCCATCAGCAGTATTGATGGTAACTTGCTGTACTTATTGAGTACATTTTTAAAAAGACAGGTCTGGTGATCTCTGACATCTTCCTGCTGTCAACAAATCCAATGGAGAGAACGAAACCAACAATGCATGTATCCTGCTACTGCTACTGTACTGTGTGTATCACTGAGCTTAACTGCCTGTGCCATAGAGCTCCATTAACTACTAAAACAATGAATCAGTGAACCACACAGTTTCATTGGGTGACATGTTCTCTCATTACCACGAGCCGACCTGCTGTAATTTATTTTGACTAAATACAACCAGTGCAGTGCAGTCAAGTCCAGTTCTGATGTACTGGATTTATCTGGAGGGGAGAGTGGGGGAATATTAGCAAGTCTTTGCTTGAGGTGTCTTTATAGTGGGGGTATGTCTAAAAATAAAGCCTATGTATAAACTTGAGGATGTGGGGCATCCCTGGGAATAATTGGTTTGGATCTAAAATGAACAGTTTTGAAAATACAGCTCCCAAAAGAAAATCGTTTCTTGGAGAAAATATGTTGGGGTAAATTGTTCCATTGATAATCAATGGTTGAAGTAAAAGTGAATTTTTTATACCGCATATAATGCTATATCAAAGCAAGACCAATTGAATACCAAACAACCTCTTAAAAGTTGTATTTTAAGGTAAAATGTCCAACTTTAAAGGTCAGTTCCTTCAATAAGACCCACAGGTTCATTTTTACAAAACTGGGCTATTATTCAGAACAAAATCCTGTTCAACATGAACAAAGCTCACTGCCATTTTCACAAAACCTGGCTACTGCTCAACATTGATAGAAAAGCAAAGGGTTGTGAGCAGGAGCCGAATCCATGTCCGCTGCGCCGGGGGGCTGCCTGCTCCACTGGGTGAGCTACAAGGCACCCAATGGCACCATTTTAACAGAAGTGCATTGTCTAGGCAGTTTAGAGCTAACTTCATGCTAACAGTTTAGCCTCATATTGTGGCTTACTAATGCACTAACATGTGTGAAATTGTTTCAAATTACTCAGACACAACGTTCATAAAAGCTTAAACATGAAAAATATGCTTTGAACTGCAGCAAACAGTTTTAATTTTGATTTATTTTGTGAACTAAAACATGCTTACCTCTTACTCCATGTGTTCCTTCTCTTCATTGGGAGAGTAAAATGGATACCCATGGTTTTGTTTAAACACAGGGTGGCTCAACTAACCCACAGGGTCACTCTCCCCAACTTGTATTGAACTGTATGCATGGCACTATAGTTACCACCTACTCCCAGGCAGTGGTGGAGGTATTACTCAGATTAATACTAATTTATATCAGCAGACATCGTTGTTGAAAAAGAAAACCCCTTCAGGACACTAAAAAGCTGTCTCAGACAGTGATTTACAAATCATCAACATGCCAAAACCAGGTTTAACCAAAATCTCCAAAGATTTTTCCTGCAAGATGTTAATACCTTACATCAAACATAAGGGCCAACATTGTGGCTGTTGTATTGTTCTGCTATGATGTTAACAGCTCAACATCCCAGACTATTCAGAAGCAGGGAACGTGGACAAGAACAAGACTTAATGGGAAATGGGAACTGGAAAGGCTTCTTGTAAGCAGATGAAAACACAGCAAAGTTGATGCACTTTCTGGCCGGGGAACTTATGAAAATGTAGACGACCGAACAAGTTGTTTCCACTGACAAACCCAGTGTGATATCATCTCATCAATCAAAAACAGATCAGTTTGATGCTTGCATGCATGGAGAGGCAGGTACAAGGATGCTACTACATGCAGGGGATGCTGCAAGAAAAGGATTCAAACAAATTACCATGCACACTGTGGAAATGGATGCTGTGGCACTTGCCATAGTGCAGCGTCAGAGCAGTACATTGAGGAGCTTGGGGAGTTTGGAACTGGCAAAAACTTCAGATACATACCCCCAGGTACATGTGTTGACTTGGCCTCCAGCACTACTGTAGGGAACCGTGGAGTTATTTATGATCAGGATACGTCCTTTAACTCACCCATTTAACACGACTTTAGGACGGCCTTCTTTCACTTGCTCCGTGGTGACATCCTGTCTCAGAGTGATGCTGAAAACTAGTTCATACATTTTAA